CTTTGCCCCCCTCACGCAGGGCCACCCCTCCTCTACCCGCATGATCTTCTCTGATGATCTCCCTTCATGGCCACCTCTCCTTTCCCCTCACAATCTCCCCTTACGGCTTTCCCTCTTTTCCCCTCATGATCTCCCCTGATGGCTGCCCCTGCTCTCCCATCACGATCTTCTCTCATGGCCACCCCTGTTCTCACAGACTTCCCTCATGGCCACTCCTGCCCTTCCCTCATGGCCACCCCTCCTCTCTCCTCACTATTTCCCCTCATGGCTGCTCCTGCTCTCCTCTTGGCCACCCCTTCTCTCTCCTCACGATCTCCCCTCATGGCTGCCCCTGCTCTCCCCTCATGGTCACCTCTCCTCTCTCCTCACGATCTCCCCTCATGGCCACCCCTTCTCTCTGCTCATGATCTCCCCTCATGGCCCCCCCTCCTCTCTCCTCACGATCTTCCTTCGTAGCCACCGCTCCCACCCCTCCTGCCGACTGAGGCACTGGCTGTGGCCATCTGGCCGCAGAGCTGGAGGTGTTCCTTCCTGCGAGCTCTGAACAGCTGTGCCTCAGCTGCACTTTCCAAGTCTGAATGGTGTGAGAATTTTCAGGTTCAAAAGCTATCGCCTTTAAGGGCAGTAAAGAAGAAATGGGAGCACTTGCCCAGCCTGTTCTGTGTTTTTCATTATCTCACACCGATGTATCACAAGGTTTCTCTTCTCCTTCGTAACAACCACATGCAACAACCCCGTGCGATGCTCCAGGCTTGGGGCAGAGTGGCTGGAAAGCTGCTCGGTGTGAAAAGACCTGGGGGTGCTGATTGATGGTCTCTGAACATGAGCCAGTTTGTGCCCAGGCAGCCAAGAAGCCAACAGCATCCTGGCTTGTATCAGCAGGAGTGTGGCAGCAGGGCCAGGAAGAAGCCCAATGGTATCCTGGCCTGTATCAGCAATAGCGTAACCAGCAGGACCAGGGCAGTGATCATCCCCCTGTGCTTGGCACTGGTGAGGCTGCACCTCGAATCCTGTGTTCAGTTCTGGGCCCCTCGCTACAAGGGAGACATTGAGGTGCTGGAACAGGGCCAGAGAAGGGCAACAGAGCTGGTGAAGGGCCTGGAGCCCAAATGTGATGGGCTTCATTACAGCTGAGAGACCTGGGGGTTGGGGGTGTTTAGTCTGGGGAAGAGAAAGCTCAGGGTGAATCTTACTGCTCTCTACAGCTACCTGAAAGGGGGATGGAGCCGGGAGGTGGTTGGTCTCTGCTCACAAGGAACAAGTGGTAGGACACGAGGTAACGGCCTCAAGCTGTGCCAGGGGAGGTTTAGACTGGAAATTAGGAACAGTTTCTTCCCCAAAAGGTAGTCAGGCATTGGAACAGGCTGCACATGGCAGTGGTGGAGTTGCCATCCCTGGAAGTGTTTGCAAACTGTGCCCATGAGGCCCTCAGTGACATGGGTTAGTGGTGGCCTTGACAATGCTGGGGAACGGTTGGACTTGATCCTAAAGGTCTTTTCCAACCTGATTGATTCTGTGATTCTGTAAACCCTCTACAGACAGTCTTTTTAACCGTGCCTCTTCTAACTTTCATTATTTTCATCACCTAACATATCAGAATCACAGACTGGTTTGGGTTGGAAGGGAGCTTAAAGATCATCCAGTTCCAACCCCCAGCCATGGGCAGGGAAGCATGAAGATTTAATAGTGGGGGGAAGTAAGGGATAGATGGGTTGCACCAAAACCATCAAAGTTCTAGGAGGTAGGTCTTTCCCTTCTCTAAGGGAAAGAATAAGGCTCTGCTTTTGCTAGTTGGTCAGAGGAATAAGTCCAGCTTCTTTTATACTGTAAAAAATCAGGCTAAATTTCAAGTGTTAGAGAAAGGTGCAGAAAATACATAAAGCCATTCACACAATTATTGTCTTACAAAACCAGAAAACTAGCAATTTGGCAAATTTAAGCAGTTTAAATATTTAAAATTGTTGACTGTAACTTGTAAAATTATTAATAACAGGAAATAAATAATTTTACCTCTTTTCTTAAAGAGTCGTTCATTTCCTTTAAGGTGTCAAATGGTGACTTCAGCCTCCCACTTTCTGTAGTTATTTCTCTCAAGATTTCTGACAACTGTTGAGACGGAGGGTTTATCCTTAGAGGGCTGACTTCTTTCCTACGTTCTTGAAACGTCATTTCTCGTCAACGTGTGTTCTGTTGTGAAAATAATCCCACAACGTTAAATATACTAATGATTATATATGTATGTTAGTTGCACAAATAAGAACAAACCGTAATATTACCAAGTAAAGCATTACTGTTTTCCTATATACTGGGTTGAAAGGGTTCAAGACTGTACATATTTCTGATGTAGAAGTGGGGAGGACTTCATCTTAGAAAGATGTACGGCAAGTAATGATGGTTTTTGTGGCTGTTCATGTTCAAATAAACATTAATTGTAGGTTAAGAATGAAAATCAAAAACTTCCAACATTCTGTTACGATAATAAAACTGAAAAAGATTACCATAATCATTATGTTCAAACTTAAAATAAGAATCTTTATGTATGGTATACATTGTAGTTACTGACTAAATTTAGTCAGAACACAACGTAACCTTAGAAATTGTGCAAAGAATGGCTAATATCTTCAAAGTGACTGGCAAATTTCCCAAATTCTTTGAAGTTTGAAATGTGGGTGTACTTTTATTTGGAGGTGACAAAAGATGTTTTTACATCAGAGAGATGTATTGCTGCCTTCTTTTCCATTCAATTTGAAGTTGTGTGATCCAAAGTATAGGTCTGTCGGTTTCTGTAACATTAAAAAAAAAAAAAGAAGAAATCATTGGAAGATTCAGTACGAGTAAACCCAGGCTTTCTCTTAAGCTTACTCTCAGATGATAGAATCATTTTTTTCTGAAACATTTTAGTGGTGGGGCTGGGAAGTGCAGCCTGAAGCATATCATAGAGCTGAGAATTTCAGCTGAAGTCGAATAGCTTAATAAAGATTTGGCTACTGAAGTTAACCTGCTTCAGAAGAAAAGTGTCTTTACAGTGGAAAGGGTTAGTAATTTTAGCTATAGGTTGGCTGTAATTAAAATGTGTTGTTTTAGTAAATATCAAAACTGTTAGGTGCAGGTAGAGTCACATAGGGATTTTAAGCAATTACAGCTTGAAAACAGCATTTCTTCCTTGTTTCTGCACCAATGTGTGTCTCCATTGTAATTCTGTTACTAGCGTTTCTGTGGATTTATACCCATATGGCTGAGTTTGGCATGTGAATTTGGCTGTGTGAACAGCCTTACTTTGTATATGGAAACTTACCACTTGCACAGTTGAAAAGTGCAAGAACTGAGGCAAAAGAAAATTGTTTCCAAGTCAACTTCTGCTTCCCTGGAAAGGCCTGTAAGGATAAATCTTGGATTTAATCAGAAGAACAATCCCTTGAAAATAGCAAAGGAAAGTTGAATGAGAATATGTTGTATAGCTAAGAATAATTGTAGAGTTAAAATGGGATGCTTTCAGAGCTTTCTTACTAAGTATTTATTGAAACCAAGCCTTTTCAGTTTACAGATACTAAGGCTGAATTTCAAAGTAGTTCTTGAAATTGTTGAAATATTTACTTTTCATCATAAATATATTGCTTGTGTAATATGATGCAGTAGTTTCCTCCTTTGTGCAACTGGTTTTGTGGTTTTTAGAGGTAACAGATTAGGGAATGGGTGATAATCTAGGTGCAGACTAGACAGTACTATTAGAGTACTTTCTGATATGAACAACCTTGTTGGAGAAGAGCAAAAGAGAAACATCTGGCATCTTATCCTTGATGGCATATTGGGTGTGTTTGTGCATATATGTGGATGGGGGGCCTCATCTCAAGAAGGGAATATGTAGCAAAAGATAATGGAACAGTAGAAATGTGTTAAATGCTTTTTTTTCATCTCTGTAGACAAAGAACATAATTTCATACTTGGTTTTGAAGTCTTGTCAGTGTCCATGTAGTGCTGTAGAACAGTGAATCCTGTTAAATACTGCTATTACTGCAGCACTCTCTCCTCACTATTCAGGATTTCCATGCATGGCAGAGCACGTTGAAATGAGCTCGTAATGGGACAGGATTAATTGTTTTATGGGCCCCTTTGCTGCTTGAAAATTCAGTGACCTAAATAGAAAAAGTATTTTACTTCCTTTGGTGATACTATAAGATAAGAATTGTTGCCAGGGGGAGATTTCACGTGGAGGGATGCTGTGACATGATAGACCCACATTTCCCCTGACCCTCTGTAAAGCTCAGTAGTCTGAATACAGTTAATATCCAAGTAATCACTTGATAGAACACCTTCTCCTGTGTGTTAATTCTTTCTGTCTAATAGCAATTATTGATCTAATTAAATTTTATATGATCTTGAGTCTTTTGTGGATGTTTCCTCTAGTGATAGAGGTGATTTCCTTCCTCTTACTGCACTTAATTGAGTTTTAGTGAAGACAACAAAAGTTATCATTAGCCCATGGCTATTCTGTCATGTGCTCCGACACTATCTGATCTTGTATCATCAGACTTAGTAGTTAATGTAACATTTAGATAGACCATAAAGGCATAAAAAAACCCCAAGAAATGGAAGCTAGTTTTGAAGATACCTCCTTGCTTATGCAGTCCAGCCTCCTAGCATCTCAGGAAACGGTGCTTTGTTCAGTAAATAGAGCCTTCCTGTTTTGTTGCTTAAAGAACTCTTCGGCTGCTGGTTCTGATTCTGTATATCCTTCCATAGTAAAGTCTAAGAAGGGAATTCTGAATGCAATCCTATACCTAGCAGTTTAGTTTCAACATGGAAATTACCACCTTTATATAATTTTATAACTGTTCTATGTTTATATGCTGACAGACAGTTGTATGTTATGTTATTCCTGGGTTACAAAGGAACTGGGGACTGTTAGACTAAAAAGAGGGACTGTGGATAATTAAACCCAATGTCCTAGAAATCTACATTAAGTGCATTTTTAAGTAAGTTTCAGTGGAGTAAATCTAAAAATCCATTGTTGATTGTACTGTGATTTTCATTTACAGCTCTATTTTGCGGCTTATTTTGCTGTCTTTTGCAAGATCTTACTCAGTTTGTCTTGTGAGGGTTCTCACTTGACCACCATGCTCCTTAGTTTCTAATACTGTTATTTTTATGTCCTTGTAAGATACCTTATTAATGTGCTACTTTATTAATGGGAGATACTTTATTAATGAGATAATAACTACTTTCTTCTGTTCCATCTTACTCCTCATCAGCCTTTCTTTGAGATACAGGTTTAGCATATCTGAGCCAGTGAGATTGCAGGCTGTTTTATCTGAGCTCGTAATTTCTTCTGTCTGTTACTTCAGTAATTTATTTCCTTACTTTCTTAGAGTTTCCCCTTTTAAAGTTCAGAACATTAGTCATCAAAGCCACTTTTAGTCACTCACTCCAACTAAGCTTATATGATCATTTTCCTTTTAATTAATTGGTCCTTCATCTTAAAAAAGGAGAAAAGTAAGGGAAGAGACGCCAGATTTGTAAAAAATATTTTAAAGGAGGGAAAAAATTTGACACAGAGAATATTAATGGTTGGATAAAAAGGGCAGAACTAAACCATGGGGAGAAAGATGAAAGGTAGACGTAAGAAGAAAATTCTCTTCGTAAGAAAATCAGAGCACTGAGATTGCTTGGAGAAGTCGTTACTTACAATGTGTTTATTTGGCCTTCAGGCCTCTGCTGGTAGGAACTGGACAATTATTTTGCTTCTCAAGTAGATTTCAGCCCCATTTTCTGCATTTCTTTGCATCTGCTATGGATATGTGAATGTGTCTTGGATTCGTTATCATCAAAGAACTCTGCTAGCTGAAACATCTGGAGATAACTTGGCTTTTGTTATCAGGTGTTTTATTTTTTTCAGTCTAGGTCTGAGAATACAACTTTTCCCATAATTGCATTGTTCTAGGTGGTATATGCTGCTCTGTGCAGTGGCACAACTGAAAATTCCACATACAACTCTGTCTAAAAGGGTCTCCAGCAGACTTTCAGTAACACATCCATAGAAGCTTTGTCATTTGGTTCCGAAGGAAAAGTAAAGATGGGAAGACACTTTTGCACATCGCAGCAATGTGTGATATCATATTCTTCAAAGCCAGTGTTTAAAATTTAAAGATGTGGCATGCGTGTACACCCAAGAGTGCTTTCATTTTCTGTGAGGGTCATGTTTGCATTTTCCCACTACCTGTGATAAAGGTAACAGGTGTAGGGCAAGTAATCCTAAAGTAATAGTAACAGGGGAAAAAAAAAGGTTTCGTAAGTGCACTATGATCGTGCTGTTAAAAATTGAAATTACCTTCTGCCTTACTGTTGGCCTACCTGAAGGACATCTTTACTGGATGAATGACTTAGGTGCACATTTGATATGTCTGTCAAATGTGTAGTACCAGTTATGGTTGAATAGTTCTACACTAGGATTACTTGTGGATTGTGATAAATTGCTTACAAATACCACTTCACAGAAAGTTCCATGAAGCACATAATTGGGGGTTTTTAATGTGTTGTCTTCTAACATAATGTGTAAACCTCTGTAGTAAATATACCTATTTTCTAGAAAGAAAGAATCACTGTTTTGTTTTAGACTTGGGCGGGGGAAGAATTGGACATAGGCTTGTTGCTAAAGTTGTGTGCTGTCATCATCTTCTTGAGAGTGATTATCACAAAGGCATAATCATGAGCGAGTGGGCAACACTGAGTTGTTACAGCTGGAAGAGTGATTAAGAGCAGCTCTTTTGAAAAGCTTGCCATGTCATGCTGAGTTGTCACTGCCAGTATCTATCTTGCAGAAGTTTTGTGGCTATTACTGGCCATAAGTAAACATGGGCGTTTTTTTCTTTTCCAGAGTAAAGATGGGAAAACACCTTTGCACATGACAGCTATCCATGGTAGATTTTCAAGATCCCAAACCATCATTCAAAATGGTAAAAAGAGGGGGAGGGGGGCTTATTATTACTAAATAGCACTGAAAGCTATATAGGCTTTTGAAACCAAAGTAGTCATTCATGGACAGTTGTTAACGTAAATCATCATCAGTGCTATGATTCTATTTTTCTGACAGAAATATCTGTATGCCTACTTAGCAATTACTTTCTATTGTAGGAGCTGAAATAGACTGTGAAGATAAGAATGGAAATACTCCTTTGCACATAGCAGCTAGATATGGCCATGAGCTATTAATCAACACTCTGATTACGAGTGGTGCTGACACTGCAAAGTAGGTAACTTTACTGACATGAATGCAAACAGAGAATTTAGAAATATATTTATTAGATTAACAAGACTAGTATGATTTTTTTAATATCATCTTCAACTTGAAATAGGAAATACTTTGTGTTTTAGCTTGTATTGTGCTTTTAAGTAGCTACTCAATACATTGGAATTTGTACAGAAAGAGAAGTGGATTTTTTTCTAATGTGAAGTAAAAGCTCTGAAAGTTTTAATAGGCTGTTGCACTGAGTTAATGCATCCTGCTAGCTTGTAAGAAAGCATTTAATATGTGAAGTTTTCCTAAGGCTCAGTATTCTGATTAAGTGATTTGCTGAAAAAACCATGCATGTGCACTTTGGGACACAATCGTGTTTGTTTTATTTTAATTGTAATGAAACTGTGATACCTGATTATGGTGTATCTTAGGCGGGGTATACATGGGATGTTTCCTCTCCATTTGGCAGCATTAAGTGGATTTTCAGACTGCTGCAGAAAGCTCCTCTCATCAGGTAGGATACTCTTCTAAAATCTTATAACTGCTTTGTACTGTATGTTTTATTCCATATAACAGTTTTTAATTAAGTCTTAATTTAGTAATAGATAAAAATATTTCTAGTTTGTTGTGTTCATGTGGTTTAAGTTGGCCATAGAGGTGGGATGACTGGTTCAGACCATAATTCAACTTCAAGGAGAAGACTAATGTTCTCTTAAATGACTTCATGGAGCATCTTCCATTTCTGTTCCATTATGTTTTTAGTTTAATACAGATTAGTCTATTCCTGTACTCAGTGTCTAGTAGCTCCGAAGACTCTGTGGACTGCTACGTTAAGAAACCATTGCATTGGCGGTTTGTTGTTAGTTAAATGTGACCTGAACTTTGCTTTGCTTTCATTGTTTGATTCCTCCCTGAAGTTGAGAGAATTGCAAGGTTATTACTTCCCTTGTTGTCCGCTGTGGTGTGAATTCTGAGCTCTTACAACCATTGCAGTTCTGAGAAAGTAGATTTGTCTGAACAAAAGAAGAAAAATAAACCAAATGGTTGTACATTAAACTGAAGGCACTTAATGTGTTTTGAAAAAAGAAAAGCGGGGAACAGAGGGTTGGGGAGAAGGAAGAGTAAGAACTTCCTTCCCCAGCTTTATATTGTCTGCTAGGGAAGCTTGGGAGAAGAACTAAAGAAGTATAACTAAAACTACCACTGGTAAGGCTTTTTATTTCAATGCTCTGTCATGGATAAGCTTGCAAGGATTCACTTCAGGAAAGAACTGTCCTGTAGTTTACAGTATTTCGATTGGATGAATTCAAAGTGAGGAATACCCTGGCTCTTCCTCCTTTCTGCGCATGGTGCTGTGCTGGCTGTGCCCTTAGTGAAGATTCAGTATGGCAAAGGAATCCCTGTGGAGGACTTGCAAGTGGTTTCTGTGACTTTTACATGAGTTGAACAAACTTGGAGGTAAATCTAGCCTGGAGCAGAAAGGACTTAAAGAGTATGTTCAGCCTTGAGACTGGAAAGACTGAGATACTGCTAACAGCTGATTAATACAGGCTGTTGGTGTGGTGATTGGTATCTGCAGACAATGTGCTACCTAGGTTTTGGAAGGAAGAGTCTCATTTACGTAAATCAAGAATCTCTGATTTTTAAATTCAGTAATATTCAGGTGCAGACCTTAAATAAAACAAAACAATTAAAAAAAAAAAAATCATCGATCTGCCCTGGCCCAGTACTGAATGACATTTATGTGGTTAGTGGTGTTAGACAGGCAACCTGAGGATGTGGAAAGGCATCAAAGACTGCTCTTCAGATCAGATTGGTAAACTATCATAAGTTGTTTGCTGTGTATCACTGCCTTTTGAAATGGGAAGAGAACAGAGCAGTGCATACAAAACGCATGTTTGGTAGGATATGGAGTAGGAAAAGAGTCTTGAGTAACACATCCTGTGTGATTACTTATCGTTGTTGAACAATCCTTAAAAAAAACCCCCAAACTTGCATTCCCAGGCAAAAGTACTAAAATTGGAGATTTAATGATTAAGTTTTGTTACACAAAAGCAAGCATCTTAGGGGAATATAGTAGTTTTCTCAAACCAAAAATGTAGCTTTTAAACCTGGTTGAAATAGCAATCTTCATGTCAAAATGTATGGTTAGACTTGGAATTGTACAGTTAAAGTTTGTGATCTTAAATTTGAAGTTACATAGTTCACACATATGGGGAAGAGAAATCTATAATGTTCTCTGAAGGGCTTTTCTGTAAGTAATTACTGTTTACAGCCTCTGCTCCAGCTTAACAAAGTTCTTTCTCTGGGACTAAAGAGCTAAACTCAAGGATGAAATGTAAGTAGCTTCTGGATTTAGTAATGCTGAAACTCCCCCTTAAATAAGTAAATAAATCTCAGCATAACAGTGGTAAATTCTAGCATATTCTTAAATTTTCATATTACCTTCAAATATTCTATATTTGATACTAATTTACACAGAAATATTAGGAGGTAAACAGGATAAGAAGGAATATAGCCTTTTGCCTCAGTGCAGCTACTTGTCTTTTTTCTTAGCCCTTTCAGTTTTACTTGAATGCCTGCTTTTCAGAACACTGCAAATAGTGAGGATGTGTTGCAAATGAAGTAAATTTTCAGTGCATAAGTGGTTTTCTGCAAGTAGCTGTTAAGTTTGCTTAGCAAGCATTTCTCTTAAGGGTAGATGAGAAGAGTTTTGTGAAAGGTGGTCTTACATAACCATTTTACAAAATACTTGATTTGTAGGTTTTGACATTGACACACCAGATGACTTTGGCAGGACTTGTCTTCATGCAGCTGCAGCTGGAGGGTATGTAATAAAAGCATTCATGCTTTCATATTTAGCATTCTTCTTTTCAATTGCTGATGGTTCCTGTTCTTCTTTTATTATTTCCTCTCTGTGCTTTTCCTGCCCTCTTCCCTTGGAATTTATGTAAACAGTAAAATTATTTCAAGATGGAGTCTATCTACAAACAAAAATAAATATTCATCTCAATAAGTAATTACTGGAGAGCAGTGTCCAAGCCTTGCCTTAGGTTTATGCTTGGGGATGAATGGAATTTTTAGATTTTACAGCATTTGAGGATGGCATGCCCAGCTAAGATCACTGTAGGGCATGAGGCAGAGAACAGCAACTTTGAGAAATACGTTGTTATCAAATCCTTAAACAAAATACTGATCTAAATTAAAAGCCATAATTAAATTCCAGAGTTTAGGTGGCTGAAGTAGTCAGAACTACTTGCTCATCACTTGAGTTGTGATCCATATTGATTATTGTTATTGTATTGTAGGTTTTCTATAGCAGCTACTCAAAATTGCCTGGAAGAATTGGGTAATAAATTTCATGATACACTTTGTGGGACACAAGAACTCCATGATATTGCTATTTTCATTTTTCTGTTTCAATGTTGTTTAAGTAATCCTGTTAAGTAATCATTCCAAGTCAAAAGATACTTTATAGATATACCCTTGTTGCAATTGATTAGGGTTAAAATGCTATCTTTTCATATAAAACCACATAATTTGTGACACATTCCCTCATTCATCTCCAGTTTAGGGAAGTTATTAAGATAGTGTTTAAAAAATAAGTAGTATAGTACATCTGTAATGATGTCTGTATTGAACTGAAAACAGATTACACTAAAAAGTGAAATATTTATGTTGCAACTTCTGTTTGGCCTTAATAACTGTATAGTGAAAACTTGCATCTGTGCTGGAATCCTGGTAGCAAAAAGCATGTGATATGCAGGTATTATTATTTGTTTGCTTTAAAGAATTTACATTTCTATTGAATTAGGTAAATGTTTATGTGCTTTATGCACACCATTTGATATCAGTAATGGATTTGAAATAATTTATAATCTGTCCTGATTTGGCCCTGCAATTCTGAAATCTATTTTATATAGAAAAATACATTTCTCAAAATGTTCATACAATAGTTCAGTTCCATTAAAACCAACATATGAGATGTGTTTGTGTAGCAGTTCTGATATTTGCAGAGGCCGCTATTAAAGAAAAAAGATTTGCAATCAGAATTAATATTGCATTAATTTAATAGGAATTTGGAGTGCCTAAATCTTCTGCTAAATACTGGTGCAGACTTCAACAAAAAGGACAGATTTGGAAGGTAAGACATTCTAGATTTGTATATTGCTAAGGACTGTTAAAAGTATTACTGAAGTAACATATTGCTATGAGGGCAAGTCTGTATGTTGCAGTTTAAATGTTTTTTTAAGATGCAATGTCTAATAAACTGTGCTTCAGCATGTTACCAAAAGTTACAAACATAGTTTGTTTATTGTGTTTTATTAAGTAGGTGTTTAGTCTTGTTTTTAAAGACAGAGTTCCATATTAGACTGTAATATTTTCAAGAGTCTTTTGTTTATAACATGGATCTAATGAATTTAAGTTGCTCTCAGCCAAGGACATTAGTAATGTTTTCCAAGGAGTATGTCAGTGAAATCTATAAATCTGTTGATATTTCCAGGCTTTTTTATTTAAAAAATCCATTATTTTATTACAGCTGCTTCACCTTTTCCTTTCATTATATCCATTCCTTTTTGTTTCCTCATTCATGCTCTGAACTCTTTGGAATGACATTAATTTCTATTTTTAGTATAGGAATATTTAAGTTTAGATGGCACGATCAGAACTTGTGTAAAATCTCACGTCACATCATGGAAAATATGGCTTTTCAGGATGTGAATGGCAGGAATAGGACTTGAGGAGAATATTACGGAGTCAATGATGTATTTTGCTTTAAATTCCACTTGCATTCTTTCCTGAGAAAGGAATCTGTCACAACTTTTGTCATTGAAAGTTGCTTTTTTGTTGGTTTGTTTTTTTAATTTAACATGAGTGTTTTATAGAGCAATTATTTCAGGAGAGGAAAAAAAATTAAATAGTTAAAACTGGAAAGAAATAGGGAAAAGTAATTTTAAGGGAGAGGGAAGAAGTAGAACCCTTTAAAGTGCTGGACTGTCTCCTCAAAATTGAGATATTTATAGTACCAATCTCTTCCTAAAAATAGAAAATGGAATTCTGAGTCATCTTGGTGGCTTTGAAATTTTATCCAAAATGGTTTATTTAGAAAATTGTTTATGTATTTGAAGCTGGAATAAGTTTTCACTGAGAATATACATAAGTACTAATTTTTATGGGGTTTTTTTTTTTTAGGTAGACAAGGCATATTTTTAGTTTTATTTGGTAACAATAACAGAGGTATTGCTGTAGTTAAAAATAAACATGCTTGCCTCTCTCAGACAGAATTCTGATCTGTTCGTCAAAGACATCTACTTGTCAATTGTTTTCTTTTGACCTTGTTTAGTTACTGTGCAGTTCTTAGATTTGTCCATATTTTTCCAAGTGGCTTAAAATTACTTAACTAGAAAGAATATTTCTAATGTAAACTTGATATTTCCTCTATATGCTTACACAAGAAAATTCATATAGAACTTCCCTTAATACAAAGTTTGTGTATATTTTGGCTGTCAAATGGATCCCCTAGAGGTTGTTTTGCATTATAGAATGGCGCCATTTTTTAATATTGGAATGATGTGTTCTTCAACACAAATACTTGTTAAAAAATATAAGGAGGATTTAAGTTTCATTTTATTTTGCTTTTTCTGTCTCTAATATTATTTTGCTGTTATTTACCATTGTACTTTTTATTTAAATGTGTACTAAAGAACTCCACTCCATTATGCTGCTGCCAATTGTAATTATCAGTGCCTGTTTGCCCTTGTGGGATCTGGAGCTAGTGTGAATGACCTTGATGAGAGGGGTTGTACACCTCTGCACTATGCAGCTGCATCAGACACTGATGGAAAGTAAGTGGCATGCTTTGTACTAAAGCCTTTCTCCTTCGAAACATTTGAGCTGTGAATTTTGTGTGTGTTCTGCCTTCAGAAAAAAATGCCAAATGCATTTTTTTATATTTTTAAAGATTAAACTTGGACAGTGTTCTATATGACATTTTTGTTGTATGTAAAATATTTTATGTAACAAATATTTCTGTGAAAAATTAACCATAGTAAAAAGTACTGTGTGTTGGTTAAATCCTAATTCAGTAATTAACTGGGAACAGAGTTTTTAGTCCCACCTGCTGTGTAGTGGTTGAGTAAATATCATTTGTGGGGGTTGTTATGACGGTTGTTGTGCACTAGGGTTATTTTGCTTTAAAATTAAATTCTGATGAAGGATGGTGTGTTTTAGGTAGGGTTCTTAGTGTTGCCCCAACATCTATGCCAGAAATACACTGTAAAACTAGACTGAGTTACAGTAGGCCTACATCAGGATAGAAATTAACATTTGAATGTAAGATGCTCTATCCATTTAGTGTTTGATTAAACTAATAATGTTTGGCATTAAACTTCTATCTCTTGTTGGTGTAAATTTTTAGGATGTATTTAGACTTTTGTTAATGAAATGCATCCAGAAACTTCCATAAGTCTACAAATGTCTTTTTGTAAGTTGTTGGGTTTTTTTGTAACTAACAGTTACATTTAACATAGTTATTAACTAATTAAATGCTTACATGTAAAGCTGACATAGCACAAAATGGATGAGGTTACTTAAGCTCCAGATGTTTGGTATATTGAGGAGACTTGGGAAGAGTACCACTTGCATGTGCACTCACTCACATAGACAGGTCAGAACAAGCCGGTGTGCAGTATCGCATTTCAAACGCCCCCAGTGACACCTTCACTGGACAAGAGTGCTGCTTCATGCCACATCATCTTACTTAATAAGGTACCTTTTAGAAGGTGAGGTAGCAAGGTGGCGTGTAACTTACAGACTGAGTTTTGAAAGATGAACAAAGAATACTTACGTGGGCATTTAATATTTAAAGTATAAGCCTTTTTATCTCAAAATTGTGTCCTGCTTTTTAGATATACTTTCAGTTCCTACTGGAGTTTGCTGAGATAATCTTATTTAATTGCCCTCTTACAAGTTGAGCTAGGATTAATTTTAGCTTCACAGTTGCTCTGAAAACCTTCAAACTATAGTGGTTCTTCAGATGACATCGTTTTCCATCTGTCTTATAAAAGGCACAAGCAAGAATGATGATGGCAATGCTGCAGAGCTGTGAGAGATAACTCAAAGAATCATCTCTGGAAGCCACATGATACTGCCCTTCTGATTCACAGTTGGCTTTCTAGAGGCAGGCTGCAAAGCAGAGTAGCCTGAGGAAAAGCTTTTTATTGATGCAGCAAGATGATTAGTAACAGCTGGAAAACCAGAACCGCTCAGCTCATATTCAAAATAGGAATGAAGCTAAAAATTATTATTGAGTTGGAATATAAAGCCTGGGCAAAGAAAAAAAAAAGGTCAGGAAATTATCTACATAGAGATTCCAAAGAGATTTATGGGCATTTTATAGTCTTTGTTGAGACATCTTTAAAGACAGATTTTAGGGACAAGGACGGTTTTGTTGAAAATTATTTTCTAGTTTATTCCTGGTTGGAAGTTTTTCTTTTTTATGTTTAATAAATGCTTCTGATCTGGAGCAAACACCAGTGACCCTCATTTTGGCAAGACTGGGGAAAGAAACATCATTGCAGAATGAAATAAACTAAGCAGCATCTTAGGGAAGAAAAGCCCACGCTCTTCCTATGTTAGAATTATTTAATAGACAGTACACCAGTAAGTAAATGGGAAATAACTTATCTGCGCTTTCACAAAGTTTTATTATCTCCTTTGGAAGAAGCCTATTGAGGACAATTAAGTATGCAAAAGATGCAGATATAATCTCTTCCCTGGATGAGAACAGACAGCAAAAATACTTACCTGTTTTCCACTGGAAAGAATGGGTACTCAAGGGTTTTTAGTAGACTTGGCTTCCTGCAATATTTAGTGTATTGTATTTTTTGTGAGCACACAAATAGAGAAAACAAAGAAATAGAGATTTAGATAGCCAAGGCCAGTTGTGTTTAACATTTATAAATGAGCCATGAATTTTAATACAAAATCATTGATTAAAATTAACAAAGAAAGCTAGATGACTGGACAAATAAAATGTAGGGACAGTAATTCTCACTTAGTGGGACAATTTGTCTTGTCTTTGAACTCTCAGAAATCTCAACCTGTTTCATTTCAAATAAAAACATGCAGATTCAGTTGCCATTAGTGGAATCCAGACATTTGTTTACTGGGCAAGTAAAACCCGCATTAGTCTATTACAAACATAGATATGCTTTACAAGTAGCTTTTTATTAGATACATTGAACTTGTTGCAAAGTTACTTATATCTTAGTTACATATGGTATTCTTTAAAACCAGAGAATTTTAGCCTTTTTTCGCTACCCACCTAACTCCTTTATGCTGGGCACAAAATGATGAAAATGAGAGTACTCCTGTTGTCTCAACTTTGCAATGAGACAGAGTACGTTGTAATTGGACATATCCTTGCTTGTAGTTTTTCCTGCAGCTTTTTCTCGCTTTCATCTTCACTCACATGATTTGTTACTTTCAACCTATGACTGGAAAAGCCCATGTCAGGTCTTCAGCAAATCGCTGTTGTTACACATGAGGTTACGAGGCCCTTGACCCAGTACAGCTGCCTCTTACTTATGTTGAAATGTGTTTCTATTTCATCACAGCTGGTACTGGACCTCATTCACATGATGTACTTGTCCTGTTAGATTTGCTGACCCCTTCCTTGAAAAAACTTACACAGAGTTCTGCTGTTGCAGGGTCATGCTATCTTATTGCCAGTGATGGCTGCTTTTGTGGGATTTTACCATCAAGTTCAGAGTCATGATGATGACTTCACAAAGTGTTACTGAAATGATAGACAACAAAATATTATTAATAAGAAGGGTAATTGGTTGGAGTTCTCCAGTGTGCATACATGGAATCTTGAAAAACAGGGAGAGGGAGATGAGTTAATCTTTCATCCTCATGGCTGTCTGTGGTTGAAATTGTGATGACCATGTTCTTCATTGTAACTTTATGCAGTGAAAGTAAGGAATGGTAAGATATAAGTATGCCAACAACTAAGTGTGTTTGTTATATAAATAAATTGATAAATTAGCATCTGGTAGTGGAAGCGTATGTGTGCGTGACTCTTGGATACATACCTTGAACTCAGCTATTGGTTCTCTTCCTTCTGTAAGTACAGAAGAATGTACTGCTACAGAAAAATACACAAAAATATTAATCATTTAGATTAACAAAGATAAATGCAATTGTAATAGCTAGGAGGAAAATAGCCATGAAATACTAGCTTTAACCAAGTCAGATAATTCTGAGGAGGCAGGATTTCTGCAGAGAAGGCTTCTTTTGAATTTTGGAAGCTTTGTGTTTGACCTTAAAACTTTGGTGTAATGAATTAGGTGTTCTCTAGTCCTAAGCAATATTGTACATTAAATCAGTGTTCTTGTGTGCTGTATTCTGTTTTCCAATTGAATCTGAGTAGTTTGACACTTAAAGTTGAAATTCACCATTTAGATATATGCTTGCATGTGTCAATTTGAATAGGTGCCTGGAATACTTGCTAAGAAATGATGCCAATCCGGGGATCCGAGACAAACAAGGATACAATGCAGTACATTATTCAGCTGCTTATGGACATCGCTTATGTCTTGAACTGGTAAGAAGATCTATCTTAGATGAAAGCTGTAACGGCTGCTCTTACAGAGTATGATGCAGAGGCCAGAGGATATTTGTAAGCTAGGTCAAGAGTGATTTTCAGCCCCTGTGAGGATATTTAAGCACTTAGTACCCTTAAAAGTAAAAGGGGCAAGGTGAGGAGCTAGAACGTGCTAGATACTGGTCTAAAAAGATAATATATTTTGATGAAGAGGTAATTTGGTTGAGTATGTGGGATATTAGTTTTGGTTTGTTCCTTAATTTAGAATACACTGCTAAATTTTTTTCCTGATGGCTGAAATAAAGTAACCACAGGTTATCCTGCTTGAGACATGTTAGGAAATTTCACAAATGTCTGCAGGAGCAAATAAAA